ATCATACTTGATGTATACTTGATATGTGCTATATATTATTTAAAGGGGGGAACGGGTGGCCCAGTCGTCTAAGGCGCTGCAATTTGCTGTGCAGAGTTGCGTCCCTTGGACACGCCAGAAACCTATGATCGTGGGTTCCAATCCCGGTTCGCCCCGATTATGTTTCTAGGTTTGTCAGCACCATACCCGTGCTCGTGGGTTTCACCAAAGTGGTAAACGTCTGAGACCTGCATCACTTCGGGCTTTTCTTCCATATTAAGCTGACACGCCGCGATATAACTGGAATACTGTTATAAGCGGCGTAAAAACCAAGTCACTCCTTCACTATTATTTAAAGGTAGCTATTGACCACACACCCCAAGTGATGCTAAATCCCTAAAACGATACTTACATTGTCGTCCTATTTTTGCCTCATTGGGATTTTCTACTCATCAGTCTTAAGTGGTAGTGGCAACAAAAAACCCACTGATGTCACGTGCATAAATGAATCCTATAGTGACGTCATTAGGTCACGTGTTACTTTAGGTCGTCGAGTCATTTGGCATCATTCGATGTCTTTCTCGAAAGCGAAAGCTGACTTAGCCTTAAAATTATTCTGATCTCAAATTGTCGAGAAGTGTCATGGCATCCGAATATATTTTCATTATCGGGTTGAGTCGAGCGTGAGTTCGTATAGTGATTTTCAAAATGTCAGATGACGCATGTCGTTATTTGTGCTTGAAGCCATTTAAATAAAATATCTCGTACATTGGGCAAAAAACCATCTTCACAGTTGCACTATGACGATTTACAATGTAGATAGGGACAGTTTTTATTCCTTATCATTCATATCAAGAAACCTATACTCAACAACAAAAGTTCCTCTGACACACTAATATTTTAGTGTATTTACAAGTTTTATTTTACATCTCATCATTTTGTAATCTCTTTCTATACTAATTTGTCTGTATAATAATAATAACAGAATATGTTCTTGTCGTCATGTCCCGTAAAATAATTAAAAAGGAATGGCGACATTTAGAAATGTCAGAAGTGAAATTTAGGTATGAGAATATCATTTTAAAAATAAAATCCACCCACTCGATCAATGAAGGTAAATATTTTATTTAGAAATAATGTGGCCTGACATTAGCGACTATTTTGTGTTAGCCATCCCTGAATGCGGTTCAATGTCTCAATGAGAAAATTGTTCTTTTGCGTAGTTTTGGAATTGTAACTTTTCATAAATTATTAACTCGACGAAGATGTCAATCACACCGATCGGTCATGGCAGTTGCTTTAATAGCACTTTGAGCATGCTAAATAGTGTGTGGGTTTGGCGCATTATAAATATGCATATCATCATCATCATCATCATCATCATCATCAACATCATTATTATTATTATCATCATTATCATCAATTATTCTCCTTCTTCTTCTTCTCCTTTTTATTATTATTAATTAAAAATCCGCAATGTGATTATAAACAGTTTAGATATAGTTATCTCTGCTCAGTATTTTACAGTAGGGGTATTTTATTCACAGATAAATTGCGGAGCCACAAAACGACTTCAGAGATCAGTTGTAGATGTAAGGACGGTAAATGAACATTCTTAATACTGCATCACTTCGAAATTCCTCCGACAGCAGCTGATATGTAGTCCCTAGTTCTTCGTTCTTTGGGGTGGCAAGATTTAACTGTATATAAATTATATACACAGTTCAAGTAATCTAGTGGGTCCTGATACTGCTGCAATGATTAAGCAACCCCATATACACGGGATAATCGAGGTTGCAAAAACTATAGAGCACATGGAGTGAGTGAGTGAGTTGGGTTTAACGCCGCTTTTAACAGTATTCCAGTTATATCACGGCGTGTCAGCTTAATGTGGGAGGAAAGCCCAAAGTGATGCAGGTCTCAGACGTTTACCACTTCGGTGAAACCCACGAGCACGGGTGTGGTGTTGACAAACCTAGAAACATAATCGGGGCGAACCGTGATTCGAACCCACAATCATAGGTTTCTGGCGTGCCCAATTATCACGACGATCACACCGGAAGTTGTTATCGCACATTGTACCCATATGACGAATGGAACCCGTGCACCTGCATCACCACGGGCTTTTCTCCCACATTAAACTGACACGCCGTGATATAACTGGAATACTGTTAAAAGCGGCGTTAAACCCAACTCACTCACTCACTCACTCACTCACTCACTCACTCACTCGTCGTGATATTGCTAGAATATTTCTAAAAGCGGCGTAAAACAACACCCATTCAATATTGCACGTGTACCAAAAAAGTTTAGTCATCTCAATATCATCCTCGATTATCCAGAGTGATGTGATGTGATAAATATCATAATAGAATAGAAATTTAATAAATCGGATGTCCGAGGATGTCGCAAGAGTAAATATGACACCAGCAGTCACTTGGGGCAATATGTCGAATTAACCAAGAAATAGACGATGACGGTCGACTAAATGTATATCGAGAAGTATCAACACAAAGGCGTGTGGTGAGTGAGTGAGTGAGTACTATTTAACAATAAGTAACAATTTTCCAACCTTATTAGATTCGTCACCACTCGCATCTTTCCGTCACCTGCATGAAGGCTCGTCCCGTTCTCGAAGGTCGACACGCGCGTCAACATATGGGTAAGGAAGAGAATATATGTGTGTCAACTTCTTTATTATGAGGAACACATAATAATAATGTGTTCCTCATAATAAAGAAGTTGACATCCATATATTCTCTTCCTTATGTGAATCACTTCTAAATGCTTTTCAAAGACCTAACATATGGGTACTTCGATCAATATAATCCCGAGTATTTAAATTAATTTTGGCCATATGCATTTGTTTAAAAACTGTGGGAAAAATTAGATCGTCACTAGCACACCGCCGTGTATGCGGCTAATAGAAACGTGATCTATAAATTGATGTTGTTGCTTGTAGGGCTTGTCCGGGAATGGCACGAGTTGGTCACAAATGACCTTATTACTGCAGTGAGTGAGTGAGTGAGTGGGTGAGTGGGTGAGTGAGTGAGTATGGTTTTACGCCGCTTTTAGCAATATTCCAGCAATATCACAGCGGGGGACACCAGAAATGGGTTTCACACATTGTACCCATGTCGGGAATCGAACCCGGATCTTCGGCGTGATGAGCGAACGCTTTAACCACTAGGCTACCCGACTGTCCCTTACTGAAGGGAACAAAATGAATGGCACACAGTTGGGGATCGAACCCATATCTTTGACGTCACAAGCCAAACCATTTACCTGTGGACTACCCGCCGCCCCGAAACCCTGTCAATCTGACCGCCTCCGTGGTCTAGTGGATAGAGCGCCTGCCTGGAAAGTGGAAAGTAGACCCCCTGCCGCGTTATACCAAAAGACGTTAAAAGATGGTACTTGTTGTTACCCTGTCTGGTGCTCGGCATTAAGGGGCTAAAACAAGGACTGGTCGGCTCGGAGTCAGTATACTGTGTCTGAGTGGGGCATTCATGTTAAACTGCGGCATGGTATCTCAGTGGGCTAACACTATAAATCGGCATCAGTCCGGACTAGTACAAGCAGCCACACACACACACACACACACACACACACGTGCATGCACGTCGCTATATAAGTGCAACAATCTTGGACGCGACGTTTAACCGAATTTCACCTCACCAAAAGACGTTTTAAGATGACACCTGTTGTTACCCTGCTTGGCGTTCAGTATTCACGTCGCTACATTAGTGCAGTAATCCTCAAACCGACGTTAAACGCTATTACACCTCACCTCACGTTTATATCTTTACTTAAAACTCTTCTCTATGACAATGATTAATCAGGACATACGTTAATGTGAAAAACTGTTAATCCGGGCGATAACAATTATGAAGGGAAAATAATTATTTACCTTAAGCACAATCCAATCTATTCACTCGGGTAACGGGCCCTCTCCATAACGTCATTATCATCAAGCACACAACACTAAGCACTGTTATACATGCAGGTCAGGAGATTGAAATGGGGGGATATTGCGACGTGCATGCACGGGTGTAAGTGGCTACTTGTACTAGTCCGTACGGAAGCCCGTTTTTATAATGCTAGACCATTTAGACATCATGTCGCAGTTTAACATCAGACACAGTATACAGGCTCCGAGCCGACTTTTCCTTTTTTATCTCCTTAACGCCGAGCACCAGGCAGGGTAACAACAAGTGCCATCTTTGAACGTACACTATCCATTAGACCAGGGAGGTATTCGAAACATGCACATATTCAACCTAGACAAGACGTTCGTCGAAAATCCGATATCGGCAAGTATATTTTATATTATATGTAATATATATCGAATGTGACGGTCCGAACTCATGGAAAGACATATAGTTTACTACGGTTATAACGAACTCAAAGGGACTGCTGATAATAGTTCGTTATATCCGAAGTTCGTTATAAGCATATACTAGTACACAGCATATATACAGCAAATGACCGGGACAAAAAAGTTCGTTTTATCCGTCAGTTCATTACAAGCGTGTTCGTTATAAACGTAGTTTACTGTGTTGCTTAACCGTACTTCATTGTGAACATGTTTATAACTTCACACTGGGATATAAGGGAACATTTATACATAATTCTCTCACTATATCCATATGAGGAATAATGTCAAATTCAAAGCCAAATCGCGAAACAGGTTAACAGTAACTAATAAAACCTCATTAATATCGCTTGAGATAAATATGACTGTGAACATTTCACAATAAATTCAAATATATCAATATCTTACAAACCAAGGCACGGATCCACGCAGCGTTCATAACACTTCGACTGTCATAACTTCATAGTTTAACATGGACTTACCACAACGAACACTTTGTCGATCGGGCCCCTGAAAAACGAAATATGTAGGGAAAAGCCAGTACGATTTCAAGCAGAACATGAAAAATGCCGCATGTCTAACAAACGAACTTGGAATGAACACTGAAGACACACACAAATCAATACACCATCATATTGCCACATACCTGTCTACAAGCACGTCCGCTCACCGCTCCCGAGGGGCCAAGTTTACAAAACGGACGACACATCCGCTAGTGGGTTTATATTCTGTTTACCCCACGACTCTTATCGATTGGGATGGTCACGTGACTCGAGTGTCCGACGGTGCCATTTTGTTTCCCGCTGCGGGGTTGAACACTGTTGGCTGGTCGCGTGAACAAGGCTTATATTTTCTATGTCGCTTTGGATTAATCAGAAATCAGATAGGACATAAAAGCATAGGTGTTAATGTCACGTGGACGTGTCGCGTTGTTACTGGCGACGGTAGAGGCGATTGGTTTAGGAGTCGGTACTGACATTTTGTGAAATGTTAACAGCGTGAGTTTTAAATGGTTTGGAGGATATTTTGGATTTGTTGTTGAAACGTCGAGGGCATTTATCTCGGTATGGCGGGGTGACTGTGAAATACAAAATTGCTATTTAAAGAAATGTAGCTCTAAATGTATGTATGTTAATGAAAACGTGAAAGTAATGTATAGGAGAAATTGTGAAATCGATGACGTGTGTTTGTAGTTCATAGTAAAAACCGAAGCTATGGGAACGAATAGGTCCAATGTATATATAATAACGGGAGATATTATACGTTACACAATAGAGGCAATGCACGCAGGCGAATCAGTGACCAAGGCCCCTTTGCACAAAGCGATCTTAGCGCTAAGATGATCGTAACTCCCATACTTTAACATAGGCTTACAATAGTCTTAGCGCTAAAATCGCTTTGTGCAAGTGGGCCCAGGTCAGTTACACACCAAACCTGAAATGGTTAAAATAATTTCTTTAGTGCAGTGAGTGAGTGAGTGAGTTGTCTTTAACGCCGCTTTGAACAGTTTTTCAGTTGTATCCCGGCGTGCATCACGGGTGGAAGTCTGATGTAGGTCTCTGGCGTCTTATGTTGTAATTAGAGGCAGGTTTGTCTACATTTTTTATGAAATCCACGAACACTTGCATGTGCTTTCAAATCTACAATATAACCAGGGTGAATCGGGGATTCGAACCCACCTTCATAGGATTCCGGCCTCACCTGACACGTCTGGCCCACTCCCGTCATTTATACTTGGGGGTAATAGGTAGCCTTGTAGTTAACCCGTTATCCGTCGGCCCGGAGATCCAGATTCTGTCCTGTACATGGGTAAACTGGCTGAAGCCTGTTCACAGTGTGTGTGTGTGTGTGTGTGTGTGTGTGTGTGTGTGTGTGTGTGTGTGTGTGTGCGTGTGCGTGTGTCCCATGTTGTAATTCGAGACGATTGAAATGTGTGTCCAAAGTACACCACTGAAAGGATGCTCATGCTGTTAATCTCTGGTTTGTCTGTCCACTGTCGAATTTCTTCAGGTCGTCGTGATATAGTTGGACGTTTGTTGACTGCTACGTAAAACAACATTCACGCACTTCTCTCTCTCTCTCTCTCTCTCTCTCTCTCTCTCTCTCTGACACACACACATCCGCACACGCTTACGCTGTTCTTGACCCACATCAATCTTCGTTTCTCTCCTTGATACAAGGCGAATCGAAACAGTACACCCATAGACGCCAGACACGCCTGTAACTGACACCCCACAGTTGCAGGAGTGTGAAGGGAGCATGCTGGCACTGACGGATTAACGCCGCCATGTCAAGAAGACGTGTTGCACGAAACAAGTCTTGTAGTCATACACTCTTCCAAAAAAGAAACGCACAGGTTGAACTTTAGTAAATTTGTTGTACCTAATAAAGTCGATATATTCATTTTAATAACATAGATACAAATATGAAATTTTTGAGCTCAATAGTTACATGTTGTCGTTGTACAAATTTGAAAACTGTTTATTGTCATGTCACATAAGGCCACAAGGTTGCGCTGAACTCAGTATCTCGTGTATCCCGGGCAGCAATCACGACTCTGCATCTCCTCGGCACTGACTGGAGTGAACGAATTCTGCGCCATTCTGCTTGTAACGCGTTGGCCAGTTGTGGGAGTGTCTGCGGCGTGTTCTGACGTTGACGTACACGTCGATCGAGTTCATCCCAGAGGTGTTCGATTGGGTTGAGATCTGGAGATCTTGACGGCCAGGGCAAGGCGTTGATGTTGGCATTATGAAGGTAGTCTACCGTGACACGAGCTGTGTGCGGTGGAGCGTTGTCCTGTTGAAACAATGATTGGAAGAAGCTGGGGTTGAAGAATTTGATTCATGTAGCGATTTGCTATCAATTTTCCCTGAACCACAACCAAATCAGATCTCGTGGTGTATTATATGGCCCCCCTACACCATGACACTACCGCCACCGAAATTGTCGAGTGTCGGGCAAAGCGCTCATGTCGACGACGATAAATACGTTGTCCTCCATCTCGCCGGTGAAGAAGAAATTGTGATTCATCGCTAAACCACACTCGTCTCCATTTTCTCAAATTCCAAGGCTGTAAGGCATGGCACCAACGCAAGCGTCGCTGTCGATGGATCTGTTGCAAAGCTGGGACGATAACTGGTTTTCTGGGTCGGATTCCAGTCTCGGGAAGATGGTTCCTGAAAGTATGGTCTGATATCCTCCTCAAACTAGGAATGGGTCCTGCAGTCTGCGTAGCTGTGGCATTGCGATGACGTAGGTGGAACAATCGAATGTAGCGATCTTGTGCAGGGGTGGTAATTCTTGGTCGACCGGTTCTCGGACGGTCTGCAGTGAAATTGAACTGTGTGTATCGGTCCCAAAGGCGGCTAATGGTGCTGTGGTGGACGTTGAAGTGCCGTGCAACAGAAGACTGCGATTCCCCTCTTTGGATACGTCCTATGGCGATGTTCCGATCGGCAGCGCTGAGTCTTGGCATTTTCGAACTTGAAAAATGTTGACAATTGAATGACAAGTAATTGGCTTATGCTTGCCTTTTTATAGCCACTACCACGAGTTACGAATGCCATAACGTGCACGTGCATTTTGCTTCACTGTTTTTCTCCTTGACATTTTTTAACAAGTGTGAAAACAATGCCACAAATGTTCAATCGGGTTGAGATCAGGCGATTTGGACGGCCATGGAAGGACATTGATGTTCTCATTAACAAGGAAATTAACTGTTGCAGGTGCTGTGTGGGGCCAAGCGTTGTCATGTTGGAACAGCTCCCTCTGGCGGTCCAAAGTTGGGAGGGGGTGAGGATGCAGAATTTGGTCTATGTATCGGTTTGCTGTGAAATTTCCCTGGACAACCACTAACTGTGATCTACCCGTGTAAGATATGGCTCCCCACACCATGACACTCCCTCCACCAAATCGGTCCACCTGTCGAACGCAGTTCATGTCGACGTCGGTAAACACGTTGTCTTCCATCCCGTCGTTGAAGAAGGAAACGTGACACATCGCTGAACCAAACGCGTCGCCAGTTCCTGAGATTCTATGCCTGTACTCTGTTGCACCACAGTGTCTCTACTCTTGTTTTCAACATTCTGCACGTGCATTGTGCTGAAAACTTTCCGTGCATCCTTTGCATTTTTGCTGATAAACGTTTACAAAAAAACACATTTTGAGATGTGTTTGCGCGCAGTGCACAACAAACATGACATGATTAACGGGAATCAAACATAAGAATTGTCTTTATGACGATTGCTGGAAAAAAAATCTAATTGGAATTCTCAAAACACCTATGCGTTTCTTTTTTTGAAGAGTGTATATCCAATTTATTTACACCGGATTTTTGGTGTAGTCAGGTTCAATGAACTACGTACTGCCTGTGCGGTTCATTTTTGTAGAGTGTATGTGGAAGTCAGAATAGACCAGTGGCAAGTGCGCTTGCTTGCCACACCGAAGAACAGGGTTCGATTCCAAGCACGGTTTGTGAAAACGCGCTAAAGGTTGCCTCATCCACTGATTCTGAATGTTTCAATATCAACGGTGCTGCCTCAGCAGTCAGTGTGTGAGTGAGAGTATTCCAGTTATATCACTGCGCGTCAGCTTAATGATGTCGGAAAGCCCGAAGTGATGCATGTCTCAGACGTTTATCACTTTATTGAAACCCACGAACACTAGCATGGTGCTGACAAACCTAGAAACATAATTGCAGCGAAACGGGATTCGAACCCACAATCATAGGTTTCTGTGTTTCTGTGTCGTGTAGGGTTTAACGTCACATTAGTGAGCGAGTTGGGTTTAACGCCGCTTTTAACAGTATTTCAGTTATATCACTGCGTGTCAGCTAAATGTGATGCAGGTCTCAGATGTTTACAACTTCGGTGAAACCCACGAGCACGGGTATGGTGCTGACAAACCTAGAAACATAATCGGGGTGAACCGGGAATCGAACCCACAATCATAGGCTTCTGGCGTGCCTAAAGGACGCAACTCTGCACAGCGAATTGCGACGCCTTAAACGACTGGGCCACCCGTGCCCCCTGACGTCACGTTAAGGATTATTGCACTTATACAGCAATGTGCATCTGTGTGTGCGTGAGTGCGTGAGTGCGTGCGTGTGTGTGTGTGTGTGTGTGTGGACGTAGGGCTGTGCTATAGTGCTAGGCCACTGAGATACCATGCCGCAGTTTAACATGGATGTCCATCTCGGACACAGTATACCGACTCCGTGCCGAACAGGCCTAGGTTTATCCCATCAATGTCGAGCGCCAGGCAGGGTAACAACATGTGCTAGCTTATAACGTCCTCTGGTATGGCACGGCCGGGAATCGCAACCCCCGACCATCTGTTCTCCAGACGCTCTATCTACTACACCAGGGAGGTGGCCTCGACCCGCTTGGTTCCGCGTGATTGGGTTTGGTTGGAATGGTATATGGGTCATCACGACATAGTAAGTGGGTATTGCTTTATCCCGCTTATTCAAGCAATATCACGGCATGGGTTGTGGGTGTTTATTTATTTTTATTTTTTTTGTTTAACGCCGCACTCAGCAATATTCCAGCTATATGACGAGTCTGGACCAGACAATCCAGTGATTGACGTTATGAACATCGATCCACGCAATTGGGATACGATGACGTGCATCAACAAAGTCAGCGAGCGTGACCACCCGATCACGTTAGCCGCCTTTTACGACAAGGATAGTCGCCTTTTACGGCAAGCATGGGTTGCTGAAGACCTATTCTACCCCGGATCTTCACGGGTCGGTTCCGCATGAGACTAGGTTCCCAACACATGCTTCGCCAAATTGT